AAGGTTTATATTACGGAAACGCTACGGAAAGAACGGTATGTGTGTGTCTTCCTGATGTCCTAATCGGTGGTATTGAGCAAAGTGCCGTAATTACGTACTCGTTAGACTTACTCGAATTAGAAATTATATACGTATCCTTCTATTGGTCGTTTATGCTACTTAACAGTAGACTGAGTAGACTATTTGGCGGTTACTTGCGTTATTGCTGCTAAAATTTATGTAAAAGGGAGCTGCGCTTCACTCTCTAATATGGTTATCAATTAATCGTAAACTTCTTTTTTTGGTAATTTTTTTGACAATTTTCATTGTATTTGCTAACTCTTTCGGGATAAATGCATGCTGATAGCTTTATTTTGAGGGAAAACAAGGAATTCGCCTTTCTTGCTGAATCGAGTTTCGAATGTTGTCGCGGGGGACATACAGCCAACGATATATTTTTAATTAACGACTAAGTTTATTAAACTCATGTTTTTTTTTCTCGCATTGCAAAAAGCGTGTTCTTTGTCAATAGTCTAGTTCTTTGACAGTTTGTGCGGACGAAAATCCCGTAGCTCGTGGAGCAGCGCCGCGAGTCGTCGAAGGCATCTCGATTGTTCTCAAAAATGTGTATACGCGAATATGCTTTCGCGTTAATACAGTATGTTTAGTATGTATTGAAAAATTTCCTCGTAGATGTACAGTCCACGCTAGACTATGTTATGCTTCTTATCGTCCTCGCTCTATCTATCCTTCCAAATACTGCTATCATTTAATACGATATTAACAAAGTCATAATCAGAAAATCTCGGCGCATCGACGCAATACGCATGTTCCTCTTCTCACGATTGTGTCTCGCGATTCGTTCGATTAAAGCGGTATGACGGTCGATTGAGCTGTAGATAATGTTCGTTACTTTACTATAAATTTTCTGAATAACTATAAAAGCGTTACAAGACTATGTGTGATTTGTAACAAAGTACGAAATTAAAAATTATATTTATATTATACCAGAAGTTCGATAAACCTTTTCGGGGCTCTC